TCGCACATAGAAAAAAAAAGATATTCACTGTAATCTTGTATCCCCTTAGGTTAAAGTAACTGAAAATAAAAGTCGAAATCTCTCGTATTTTATTTTTCAAGAAAAACTTGAATGCCTTTCGGACGACGTTCCAACGTTCGTTCTATGGACCATAACGAGACGAAGCTGGATGCCGTTAGTACTCGTTACGTGCACTTGTGATAAAGAAAGAAAGAGAAGGATATAACGGGTGAAACATTTAAAATAGGTCACTTGAACAAACCGATTGATATTGGTGATAGAACAAAGTGTGTCAGACAAAATTTACTTGATTTCGAGAATTGTATAATTATATACTGATAATTTTTTTTCTAAGTGAACGTGTAGAAAAAATATACGAAGGTCAATTTTGTTTTTAAAAAATAGAACAATATTCTTTTCTATACTTTCTTATTACGTAAATTATTTTTCTTGTCAATACGATTAGTGCTCGTACTTCTCACTTCTCGAACTAGTTGAAATCGTTTTTGTTCTATACAGTTTCCCGGCACTAAAAGCTTACAATATAACGGTCGAGAGTTAGTCAATTAGTTGTAACGTTTTGGAAATAGTATCGTTTGTCGATACAAGATGTCAGAACTATTGCAAGTTAGTTGCACATTTTTCTTTCTCTTTTTAAAGTACAAAACAAGTATTAAACTTACACGAGTAAGCATTATAATTTATTATTATTTCCTACAAAATTTGTTGTGTGATTTATATCGTGAATAATGAAGATCAGAAAATTATGCAAATCTATTATACACACACACACATATATATATATATAAATCAATTATAATAAAATATTAATATTAATATCGGAAATATATATAATCGCTGAAATAAAATAGTGCGTTCATGTTATTAACTTTTCATTAATTAAATTAGTTCATTAGTATGCTATGCATATATAGGGTGTCCCACATAACTCTAGTCACGATTTTTTCAGTACTTGCGATAACCTGACAAAAAATACTTTAAACAAAAATTGATTTATTTTTGATTGACTAAACATTGCAATAAAAAAAAGTTCGAAAAAAATTTTTTATACAGTTGCCTCTCTGGGTACTTTGCAGCATACAGATTTGCTGCTTCACGTGGCATTTCTTTTACATTCGCCAAATATTTGCAAAATATCAACCTTTTCACTGTTAGTATACATTTTCTATAAGTTAACATTAAACTGCGACTTGCTACCGTGAATAAACTTTTAATATTTTTTATACTTATAGCAACCCCCCCCCCACCCCTGTATATACTATATTATTGATTCGTTTATCATTATTCCTCGTTACTGCAAATGTTTTTATCAGTTTTATCATCGTATGACTGTGTACGTATAAAAGACATTTTCTCGTGCCCATTTGTATTATAGTTATCATGAAATCGTAACATCGGACGATGCTCGCCAAGTAACGAAAAAGATGGACATGCACGCGATAAGCTTGGAACTTGTTAGATATCTAGTTACTTACAGCTACCCTACGATTTTCATCGCACAAATGTCAGTTCACATTTTTCATCCTTTCACGATGTGGATATGCGCGACCTCATGTTTCCTTCTTTCCTTACACAGAAACAATTCTTCTTTGGTTTTCTCATCGGTTACGTACGCTTAATAATCTTCCGTGACGTTTCATGAATAACGCAATGCTTGCCGTTAAATTTCTAGCTTTTTGTTCGTTATTTCAAGATTTTTATCATCTATTTTATAATTGTATAATAATTCGTAAGAAATAAGTTATAATTATATATATATATATCATGTTTCTGACAGATTTATCAATTAAATATTACAATCTAAAATATAAGAATAAAAATATTCTTATATTTTCTTCATTTAACAAATATACTTTTTAATTATATTTTCATTAAATGTGTATCTCTGATGACGCAAGTTAAATAATATTAAAATTTTCATAATTCACAGATAATAAATAAATTCAAATGAAAAATACTATCAAATATTAGATCAAAAAACAAAATGTCAGTTGTTTTTTGTATTTTCGGTTTTATCTCGAAATATCTGACATAAGATATAAAAACGGTTGGTTTTCTTACTTGAAGGATTTAGGTTTAAGCATTAGATCCTTACGGGCTCTTAGCCCTACCACGTGAGAGAGTGTTCGAAGTAACCTGGAGAGGACCAAGAGCAGACCAAGAGAAAACGAAGAGGAAACTAAGAGTGGAGGTAGTAGCATTATCGACTAGGCTGAAATGTTCTTAAGAGGAAGGAGACTTCGTCGATGCTTAGGCACGCGGTTTCCTAAAGGTTTACCACTGAGACTGGACTAGAATGACAAATCGCTGCTCTAATGATCGTATTGAGTAGATCTTGCTAAGATATATCATCCAAGATAGAGTGCTACAGGACATAAATGCATTAACGTAGCTGACCATTACCCACGAGCTGGCTTATCGTAAAACTGGTACGTGCTTGATCTGAACTTACTTCGTTCATCTATCTTTCATAGAACAGATAAAGAAAACGAAAAAGAAGAAGAAGAAAAAAAGACGATAAAACAAGTTAGGTATAGAATATATCAAGAAGTTCTTATCACTGAGCAATTACATATGTGTTCGAATAATAATCATTCACATCAGTCTGTTAATTTACTTTCGTCAACATGTTTAATTCATTTTATTTTTATTTTGTGCCTGAAATTAAAAAAAACACGTTGCATAATTTTATAAAAATAATTAAACTCGATTCGAGATAGAATTTTATTATCAAGAATGGTACGAATTGATGGGTATGCTTTTGCAACGTTTTCCTGTTTTTTTTTTTTTATTTTTTCCTTCTCTCGATTGAACTCATAATGAATTTAGTGACGAATAAATTCGTTCCCGTCTGACATTTTTAAATTACTCTCGTTTTATAATTGTTTTAACTTTATCGTCGAGTTGATTGTCATTTTCGATATTATACGACATATACCATTAATAATAACAAGAGAACTGAACAAATATATGAATTTTAAATTACAGTAATGCGTTTCACACAAAAAAGAAGAGAAAAAACCCTTTAAGACTTATTACATACATCCGATAAAAATTGTTAAAATTTATCTTTGAAATAAAATATAATTAACGATATCGGGGATTGGTATAATGTACATTTATATTTAAGATTAATCAATTATTTGAATATCAAATGAAATTTCTTAAATTGTATCAAATATATCATCATCATTATTATTATTATTATTATCATTTTATAAAAGACCAAACGAAGGTATAGATAATTGTAAGTGAAAATACAATTATGAGAGGACGAATATAACGAGAGAATATACCAAAAGTTGCTAGCGTTGCTTGGAAGAGAAACGTTTGAGCCAGCTGAATATCCATCGGTGATTCTCTACAATACTATCCAGAATAGTATCCCTTGTTTGTAGGTACGACCAAGGATATAACGCTAGGGGGATAAATAGAGTTCCTGGAGGACCTCAACGAGGATCGATGAAGCAACGTCCAATTTGTCGTTGGCGTTGTGTTACACTTACCGTAGACTTATTCCCCTTCTCTCGTATTCTCTCGTATTCTCTCTCACACCATCTCTATTTCTCTGTCTTTGTCTTCCTCACTATACCGTACTTTCAGTCACAGCAAGAGAACACATTTCGCCAACTCCAATCTCCACATACCCGGAGACTCTCCGGTGTGAATCGTAACACGAACGTAGTTACGGACATTGTGGTACACGTTTTCAGCCGAGTAACGAGAATTCTACCGAGACGTGGCCACTATACGAGAGAGATGAAATAATAATCATTTTGACCGTATTATATAATTTCGAATTTTCTTTTTTTCTTTTCCTTGTTTTTTTTTTTTTTTTTTTTTTTTTTTTTTATTTGTAATACGCGTAACGGAATTGAACAAAAAAAATTCGTGTTAAGTATATAATATAATATTCGGACAATTTTTTTTACCGGACTAATGTGTGTTACGTAACGTTGATATATATTTTTTTCGTTCAATTGAAATCGTTAATTTTAACGNAATTCTACCGAGACGTGGCCACTATACGAGAGAGATGAAATAATAATCATTTTGACCGTATTATATAATTTCGAATTTTCTTTTTTTCTTTTCTTTTTTTTTTTTTTTTTTTTTTTTTTTTTTTTTTTTTTTTTTTTCCATACTTACGTATAAAATTTCTTCATTATTCTATTTTATAATATTCGGACAATTTTTTTTACCGGACTAATGTGTGTTACGTAACGTTGATATATATTTTTTTCGTTCAATTGAAATCGTTAATTTTAACGTAGTAAGGATTTATTTTTTTTCCCTTTTTTTTTAGTTATTAAATTTTAGAAATTAATATACCCGAAACATTTCCACTTTTATCTCGTGTTTTTTCTTTTTTCTTTTATTACGGATGGATTCTACATCGAATGTTTTATCGACATCTTCGTATGTAATTATTGTAGGATCGATGATATATCGTTAAAAAATTGTAATAGAGAAATAAGTGGAAAAAAAAATGTTTCGAACGATAGGCGAGCGAGGCACGTTTCGTTCTCTACGGTCAATTCGATTGATCGATCGAATGAGTGCTTATCGAGCGTTTAAATTCCATTTCGAGTATGAAACAAACGTTCTACATCAATGCTCTTTTATGCTTGTGCGAACGTCACGATTTTAACAAGGTCCACGGTCCATTCCCGGAGAACTCGTTACACGAACATAATTGCTACGATTTCGTACGCCCCAGTGATTTACATTTCACTCTGAAAGAGTGAAAACGCGTGAGTATGGAAGTACAATAGTGTGTGTCTTGTCTATTTTATCTCGCGTTTCTCGTATGTTAGACTTAATTGCTTCGCTTCGCGTCGTTATACTTGAAAGTGCATAATACAAGACGGTTCAAGTCCTTTTGATTATATTAAAGTAACGACACTTTCTTTCTTTTTTTTTACATCTTTCCTCCTTCTTCCTAATTTTTTCTTTATTTTTTTTTCTTAATCATCACACTTAAACCTTTTACCCGTCATCATTATTCTTCTACGAGTAAATGTTCTCGTTAAGAGACAATTAACGAGAACAAAAAAATTGTTTACCATTTCAAAATTGACCTTACCCACTTTTTCTTAATATCACCATCTTATATTTTATTACAAAATATGCAATTTATACACTGCGAGAAGATATTTTATTTCTACTGTCATACCTGGTCAAATCCATGGAGAAAGCATTGCAGTTGTTCGTAGTTAAAGAAGATTGAAACTTTAGTTTGTCATTGATATTCTTCAGCTGAAATTGAAACGATAAGATGATAACGGATGTAATGAATTTAATGGAAAATAATTGTAATAGGGGATAATTCTTGTAAAACGCGTGTGGTTTATTTCTTAATATTTTTCACTCTCGACGAAAGCTCTCATAATTTTTGCCTTCGTACGTAATGTAATAGTTTGCCGTTCGGCTCGACTTTTTTTTCTTAAATATCTCACATTCCTTTTCCCATTTTGCAAATATACATGTATACCTATCTCTATCTCTATCTCTCTCTCTCTCTCTCTCTTTCTTTCGTATCATCATCGATTCTCGAAGTCTTTGCGAGGAAAAACTATTTTTAACATTTTCGATATCGCACCGTGAATTCGCTGTAGGATTTTCGAGAAACGAAGAATCATATGCATGTAAATACATATATACATACATCCATACATGCATACATGCATACATACAAATAAGTTGCCTATAAATATCGCGCGAAGGAAGAGAAAACGAAAAGGCTTATTCTCGCTCTGTTTCTCAGGCGTTGTTCCTCGAAAATTCGACAGACCGATAAAGAGTAGTTTAAATCGTGTTCTTCGTTTTTCGATTTTAGACGCTACGTAAGCGAATCGTGCTTACTCGATCGGACGAATAAGGATATTTCTTGGTCAATGATATATGTAGCACGCGTAATCGTTCTAATAGAACATTTTTTTCTATTTGCGATTGGATTATCAGATCTTTCTTCTCCTGGCCGTTTCATATTTCTTCGATAATAAATTATTATTATTATTATTATTATTATTATTGTTATTTAAACGCGCAGAAAAAAAAAAACGTTTCTATCTCATTCACCTCTCGGGCCACATGTTAAATCGTATTTCATTATTAGAACGATAATTATAATTAATTAATTAATTAATAATAATAATAATGTTCATTTGTGTGAAAAACAGCGACGTTCCTGTTTTTCCTTTCTTTTTTTCTTTTTTTCTTTTTTTTTTTTTGAGATATTTTTTCTGCCACCGTCAACCCAAATCTTACCTCTTAATTAATCTATCTTACTTCGTAAGACAGCAAGTAATTGATCGATTATTGGTTCTTATTCAAGTGATAACGACTAGTTTTTAAATAATATCGAGTTATTACGAATCCTCGACTTTCGATTTCCGCTTTTATTCCATTTTTTTTTTAACGAATCTAATTGTAAATGAGCGATTGTTGGACGAGAGATAATGCGAATCTCATTCTCATTCTCATTTCTTGCGATCGTGTCGTTGTTGTTGTTTTCCAATCTTCCATCCGTTTAAATACTCAACGTTGTTCCCCTACCCCATACAAAGCCACCCATTCACCCGCCCTCCACCAGTTTTCCTCGAATGAAAATCTCCCGAAACAATTCCAACCACTCGAGAAAATTTTCTCACCGGAGTACTGATATAAATGTAAACCACCCATCACATTGTTTTAACAACGAAGCACGATAATATTAATTTACGACAACGGTAAATAGTTTACTATCGGTATTTCAATTTACGACAATAAAAATATCATTCATCTTGTCATAATTAGCGACGGCGTTGATTTCATTATTCTCATAATGAATAACAAGAATACGACGACTATTATATTCGATAAGATTATAATTTAGTTAATTTTAATCAAACAATTGCCGATATAATTCAGGTCCCCATATAAAATCACTTTTATTTAACAAATTTCTCTCTTTCTCTCTCTCTCTCTCTTTCTCTTTATCTACCTGCTCTATTTTTATTCAATTTTCATACTTGAAAATCTGCAAGGAAAGATAAAACAATAAGCAACGCCGTCGATCGTACTTTACTTTTCCAATTTTCACAACATTCTCTCTCTCTCTCTCTCTCTCTCTCTCTCTCTCTCTCTCTCTTTCATTCATAAATATACCCCTTTTCGAAACGATAAAAAAGTTCGTACCACGTTAATAGCGACGATAACGTTTTTGCTTTTTTGTATTTCTTGTTTTTTTTTGTGTTCGATTTCTTTTTATTCTTATTTTAATTTTTGTTCGGTCACACGGTAATAGTTTTCAAAGTGTCATCGGTCATCGCACGCTCATCTTTATCTCATTGTCAGTTAGAACCGAGAAGAACGCCTTTGTGAGAGGGTAGCAGGGTGCATTGTCGAGTCTTCATCTCAGCACCTGAAGCCTTCCTAGAATGGCGAATAGGAAGAGGAGTAGGGAACTCCAGACATCCGCTTGAATGTCGCGAGAACCACCATGATGCAACTCGGCTAGGCTTTCTCCTGAAACATCGGGGGTATACACTCAAACACTGTAACTTTTACAGAGAAGGTGAGATTCTCGATGAGAGAATGGGAGGAAGAAAGTGCTATTATAGGGCAAAGGAGGATGCTCAGAGAGGAAATTCTAAAGGTAGCAGCAGCCCTTGTGTTGTGTCGCTGAATTGAACCTTCTTTTTCTTTCTTTATTTTTCTTTCTTTCTTTCTTTCTTTCTTTCTTTCTGTTTTTTTATCTATCCTTCTCTTGGCACTGAATGGCGTGTCTTCCGTGTCTATACGTACCCTTCAACAATACTTTTCGCGACTTTTAACATTTTATAGTTATTTCGGGATAAGAAATCGTTGAACTACTTCGAACTTTTTAACAATGGTCGTAATATTATTTTCCTTCGACTCTTCAATTCCAATCAGTTTTTCCACCAAAAAATCTCAGACGTCGTTTTAGATTTTACCAACTCGCGTCGTTTACAACAAAAAATTGATTTTCCAAATAATACCGTGGATACCATATTGAACGAACATTTGTCTTTTTTCTTCTTTTTCTTTTTCTTTTTCTTATAACGTTAATAAAAAAAAATATACTTAATAGAACGACAATGATAATACCATAAAACAAGACACGCTTAGTAGAAAATAATCCTCTATCGGGAGAAATTCTTTTTCTACAAAAAATATAATTGTATTTTTAAAGAGACTACTCGTGTACGTCGTCCGTTCATTCGTGTAAAATGCTAGGAGATTGTTTTCGTACAAGTGGATAGAAAATGGTGGGTGGTGGAGGAGGAGAAGAAGAAGAAAAAAAGAAGAAGCAGGAGGGGCTTTATCGAGACAATATTTCGATCAGCATCGAGGAAAGTATCGATAGCTGAATGCTTTCTCGGTTAACAATGGCGCTTCTAGTTATAGTGGGAAGCAACATATCGCTTTCTGTGCAACATAAAGGATAGGTGGATGAGGCTTGATGGAATTATGGTTGGATAATCCATACATCTATTTCGTGGTATGGTGTTCACTTTATTCCATCGGGATTTGTTCTAAAGGATCAATCGAATGTATTTTCTCTCTCTCTCTCTTTTTTTTGTTTTTTTTTTCATCCCTTTTTTCTATGTGTGTTTTGTTAGATATAAAAAGAGAGAGGGGAGGAAAAAAAAGAAAGAAAGAAAGAGAAACATATACTGGCGTTGTGCAGCAACAGCAACAGCAGCAGCTTTTTCAGCAACGACGAGTGCGTTACTTCCGCGAGGTTAGTGCTCCGATTCGCGTAAGGGAATAAAATAAAAAAAAAACGAATTGCGTTTGAAAATATCGACGAGCTCGATAGTACCCACCAGGAGAGAGAAAACGTAAATGCGATTTGAAATTGTAACTAACGTATTTTCTGAGAAATTTGTCACAACGTTATTTATTTTGAGATTCGATGATTAATTATATTAATTATTCGACACCGTGTTGAAAATTTGACACATAAACGACGTACGATATTTCGGATAGTAAATAAAAATAGATTTTCGTTATATTGTCGTAATTTTGTTTTAACGATTGCGATTGGAAAATATTAAATAAGGTGGGAAATTTTTAATGCAAATGTTTATACCGGTTCATATTTTTTTTATTGTAATTATCCTATTTTCTTTTTTTTTTATCCCTCGATAAGTTAGAACATCGCTAAAATTCTTATTGAGAAATAACTCGTGAGAAGTAAGTAATTGGAAAAAAAGAAACAAAAAAAAAAGAAAGAAAAAAAGAATCGTCTTAAACGAGAAAACCTACTTATCGTATCTTATCAGGGATGAATTCTTCACTCGTTGATCCAAATGTTACGTTTTCAATTTTATCCGAATGTCTTCCGAACGATCGAAAGGTATCGGGATACAGACATTTTCTCCCGTGAGAATAAAAATTCTGATATCTGGTCTAAAATATAAGTACGTACATATATTATATATATATACGATACATATATATATGTATACGTAAAATATATATACGTATCCTATACACACACATATATATATATATATATATGTTGCGGTAGGCCAGGATCGAGGTCTTTCTCGTCGCTCTTCTTTCGTATGAATATTTGAGTGCTTATCGATCGAGATGAAAGAGAAAGAGAGATAGAGAGACAGAGAGAGAGAGAGGGAGAGAGAGAGAGAGATGACATCGTATTTCGGTAGACGGGTATTCACTGTTAGTAGGAAAAGAGTGGTAGTGGAGTGTGAGGATGAGAGTTTAGTCTGTACGAGGAAGCAAATTTTATTCTATTTTATTCTCACCGTTCAGGACATGTACATGAACCGTTGCAGGCAGATCAGGCATGGTGGTGAGCATGCACGTGTAGTTACCACTATCCGCTGGTCCGACCCTCGCTATGCTGAGAGTAGAGTTGGCCCCTTCCTCCATTAGGTCCGTTTTCACGCTAAAACAAATGCGACTCGTTGAAATTTTCATTTCAATGTATATATATATATATATATATATATATATATATATATATATGTATTTATGTATGTATACATACGTATACGTATACGTATAGGAAACTTCATCTCCGCAGGATACGAGCTTTTACGAACGAAATCGGAATAATGTATGCGGAATAAAGTGTCCCTTCATGTACGATCATCATACGACAAAATATTGCATCGCAAATGCATTCGTCGTTCTGTGTGCCCTAATATTTATCGTTGTTTATTATCTCTCTCTCTCTCTCCTTACTCTTTTTTTTATTTATTTATTTATTTAATTCTTTTTTTCTTTTTAATTTTATTATCATGTCACACGAGGTCCGCGAACGTGCTTATGTGAGTAATTTAAAAGAAGATATGCTTTGCTTTAATTAAATAACGCTACGTAATAAATGTAAACCGGGACGTTTCGTGTCGTTTTAAAAATCACGCATTATTAATTTGTTCCCTTAACAACATCGTATATTCGATCTAATGTATTATTTATTTATTTACGGAATTTATGAAACAACGTCGAGAGAGAAAGAGAGATATAATACGAGCTTGACAATGTATTTATAAAGTTTCATAAAAAGAATGCGTGTGTACGTGTGTGTGTGTGTGTTTTTGTTTTAACGAGTAAAATATCATTTGAATTTTTCTAGAAAAAAAAAAAAACAATAAGACAAAGTATGAGTAGTATTTGATTACGTGTGATAATATAAAGGTGTTTAGGAAGAAATTGTATTGTAAAATGTTAAGTATAGATAAAATGTATACTGACTCGTAAACTGTAACGATCGAGTTGCTGATGAAGTCCCAAGAAAGGGACGAAACGTACAACTTGTTCGAAATAAATCGTTTATAAAGATTTAATAACCGTCCAAAATTTCCTGTGAGACTTATGTGAATAAGACAAACATTTCAATTCGATCCGAATTATAATCGAACATAATTTCTAACATCGTTATATTGTTTTTCCGTTTATATAAGAAGAAGAAAGTTTTATTCGGTCGTGTATACGCGAGGAGTCAGTCGATCCGATCAAATGTAAAACGCTTTATGAAATCTTCCTGTCGTTATTGTCCTTCCTTCGCTTTGTTCCTTTGCCGAGGATAATGGGAAACATTTCAAGAGTAAAAGAGTTTCTCGAATTTCTCATTACTACCAACGAACATGCAATTCAACCTTCTCCATTATACTATATTTCCTTTTTCCTTTTTCTCTAAAGTCTAATTACAAACCTCCATCTCAATCTCCTAGCCCCCCGATCTAATTTTATATTTTAATTTGATATTAAAAGTTTTTCCGCAAATCTCGAAGTTAAATAGTAATCGCGCGTAACGATTTTCTTATTGAAACACATATAAATTTAAATGAAACAAAAAAACTCTCACGTATATATTATACAAATTTAATATTAAGATTAACGATTATATCGAGTGTAGTATAAACCAAAGTAAAGCGAATAAAATAAAATTAATATTACTCGTCAAATTTCTATCTCCCTACCTAATTTGAACAATTCCAACGAGGTACATTCTTTTCCAAATAATTATTCGAAAATAAATATATACTCCTCCTATTATTATTAATATTATTATTTGTTTCTTATTGCTTTAGATCAACACGAAATAAAATATAAACGATAGATAGCTCATCGAGACGCGCTAATGCGAAATGAAGATATTCGCGGCCCAATATTTTTCATCATCATTTTTCTCCCATACCTTTTATATGTTTTTTTTTTTTTTTTCTTTCGCTCGTTTTTCGCCTCGCTTGGCGGATCGATGCGGTGGTTCAGTGCTAAATTAAAAAAAGAAAAAAAAAGAAAAAAAAGAAAAAAAGAAGAAGAATAAAAAAGTACAAAATAAAAAGAAGGGGGTAAGAAAAAAAATGACGAACGCGTAGGTGGGGGTTGGCGGGGGGCGGGGGGGTGGTGTATCTCGGTTTCTCGAGCGGGCAAGCGACACTGGCATTAAGTAGGTCTCCCTCTTCTCGTTAGAAAGCATCTCTACTTTTCTGCTTCTCCTCGAGTAAGAGAAGAATAGCGCCGACGACCTCTTCCTCGAAGTACGTTAATTGCTGGTTTCAATTTAACAACCGCGGTTCTCGGGAGGAATGGGTGGAAAGGAGAAGAAGAAGAAGAAGAAGAAGAAGAAGAAGAAGAAGAAGAAGAAGAAGAAGAAGAAGAAGAAGAAAGTGGATAGGGGAAGTGGTAGATGGTTTGAGGGGGTTTGGGGTAAAGGGGTAAAGTTGGAGGTTTGCCTCAAGGGACTGCTGGCCCGTCTTCCGTTCGTGCACGCTTTCTCGGAAAGCTCGGAAAGGCGAATGAAAAGATGGCGGAAAGTTCTATTCTATTTTGATCGTGTTTCCTTGCAGGGGGGGGGGAGATAAAAATATTTTACCTACTTGTACGTTTTCTTTTTTGTTTTTCTTTTTGTTTTTGTATTTGCTTTTAAAAGATTTCTTTATATTTGTTTGTTTGTTCTTTTTCCTCTTGTAGAATAATAAATGAAGGAAGGAGAATAAGAAGAAGAAGAAGAAAAAAAGGGGAACGAAATGTTGGAGAAGATTTTTATTAATAGTGGTAGACGACACGCGCGACAAAAATGAAAATTGTGTCTACGAACCGCATACTTTTTTAATCTAATTTTTGTGCATTACTGATATATATAAAGAGATTCAATTAAATATACATATATATAGAGAGAGAGAGGGAGGAATTTATTTTCCCCGAAAGATAGTGAGATAAGGAATGTTAAAATAAAAGAGGGGAAAGAAGAAAAAAAAAAAGAGTAAAATACTTATATCTTACAGAATCGGTGGGGAGGGGAGGGGGAGGACTCGGCGTAAGCTCTTAATCGCAGTCACCACGATTCTCGACATGATTCACGTTTATCCGTTTAACCGAACACACGCGGCGGAACTAACGTCGGGGAGAACGGTTCTCTGGTGGTAAGAAAAAGTAGGATAAAGGGTTTATCTCGTATCAACTCTTGAGAGAGATAGAGAGATACAGAACGCGTAGAGGGGTGGAAGAAAGAAGGACAAGGGAAATAAAAAAGGGTTGAGAGGCGTGGGTGGGTGGGTAGAAGAGTTTAATTGAAAAAATTCTTGCATTGCAATTTGTTCGCTCGTTATCTTCCAACGACAATGAAAAAAAAAAAAAAAGATACAGAAAGTTTGTGAAAAGATTGTTTGCTGATCCAGAAAGGCCACGACGATAGACTCATATATATATATGTATATATAGTTATATACACGTTCGTTAATACAACGACGTAGTATATATTTGATTTCGCAGCGGAGCGTAGCGCTAATTGCGTCGCGAACCAAGCGAGAACACCTATTTTATGTAAATAACGGGATTACCCTTCTCGAAGTGGAAATCCCTTCTCTCTGCGTGCAACTTCAACGTGATGAAAAATGGCCCTCATTTAAAGGAACTTAGCCCTTAAATTGAACACCACCAACACTTGGACAATTTATTCTGTAGTTTTCAATTGAATAATTAAGAAGTCTGTATTTGTTAGTATAATTATTTTTAATTACATGTAAAATGTATAATATTATATCGTTTCTCGCAAATAATTAAATCTGAACTTGTTATAAAATGTATCTGGTTATGATTTAACATGCCTTCATTATATTTGATGAAAAGATTTTTTTCTTGTTTTATCAAGGGGATCGTTGATCATATAAGAATTTCTTTAGCTTTTTTTTTTCTTTTTTATACTTTCCTTTTCTTTTTCCTACAAATCCATCCTTCTACTGTCACGATTTAATAACCGCGAAGTGAGTCGTAAGCTTTTATTTTGATCGATCGTTACTAATATAATATAATAGGAGCGTGTAATAGTTGATAACGGACAAAAAAATGCCAAATTTGGTCGACTTATTTCAGTGTTTCGAACCATCGGTATACGTAAGTGACACTTTGATGAATTAGGATAGATTATCATCAATTTCGAAATTTTTATATGATTTTATTAAGTATCGTTTGTGTGATAACGATATATTACCGGTTTAATAAAAATAAATAATATAACAATAACAAAAAAAAAAAAGATAAAAATTAAACGAATACATAAATAAAAACAGAAATTGTGTGTGTGTGTGTGTGTGTGTCTATACATATGAATAATAATACTTTTCAATCACTTCAATAAGCATCATTGTAAAATGTATCCTTTCCTAACTAATGTGTTTGAAAATCCATTATCCGAGCACCAATCTGAACCAAATTTCGATTATTTGATCATCAATTAAGCGAATTCTCGAACGTACGAATACAGATTAAATACACTTTGATTATCTCCATTACACGTGCTTGCATTTGCGCATCGATAGATTACGTTCGTTCATTTGACTCGATCTTGTAAATTGTCTACTTCCATCTTCCTCTTTTATTTTTTTCTTTTCCCTTTACTTTACAATTTTTGTTTGTTTGTGACGATACACTTTGGTTGATTACAATCATTCTTAGCGATTTGAATCTTCGATGGGGAAACGAATAAAATAAAATGAAAGGGGAGAAAAAAAAAACAGCTGAAATAACAAAATGAATCGATCTCACTTTATTTTTCCAGTTATTTCCCCCCCCCCCTCTCTCTCTCTCTCTCTCTCTCTCTCACTTTTAAAGAGTAATGACGAAGTAACTCAGTTCAAATTTCATTCTTTGCGTTCGTATGCAAATTTCCTTTCGATGCCAAATTTCCGATGGATTTAATATCCGCACGATTTGACGATCGTCGAATTTCTTTCCATTCTCTTTCATTCTATCATCGTGCCCTATTTCCTATCTCCATAGACGGAACCATATATCACGCATCGATTAATCTCTATCGTTCGACATACATACGTATAATGCACCGATAGATATTTCCTTCTTTTAAATTTTATATAATTTTACTTTTTTTTTCTTTTCTCTCTCTTTTTTTTTTTTTTTTTTTTTTTTTTTTTTTTTTTTTTTTTTTTTTTTTTTTTTTTTTTTTTTAAAAATTTTCTTTTTCATTCGTTCCTTCATTGCGA